GATTAGATTTCTACCACGCCTTCTGCCTTTGGCCAGGTTGAAGCCAGCCTCATCCAAGTATATGAAGTTGTGAGGTGGTTCTCTTCGTTAACGAAGGTGAAGACTCACCTGAGAGCAATTTCTCAATTCTGGACATATTTCTTAGCAAACATCTACTCACACTTTGCAGAAATCTGTACAGACATGCAATTCTGAGAACATGTTCACTCATTTTGATAGTACAGACTTCCAACCTGAAAAAAAGACTAATTGGTTTGGTGGTTGTGACATTTCAGCTGAGAACCAGGACAAGTTATTTTGCACAGCTGGACAAAAGCAACAAGAATTGTCAAAAACAGCTGACAGATGTACAGAACCATTTGCATGTTGTCCAAAAGCAATTGCAATTTGATGAAAACAACAAGAAATTGCTGATATGATGTGAACAACTGACAACAGAATCTGACGGTTGAACGAGTAGTTCTGAGAAATGCAGTTCTGTTGTGAGAAATGAATGAAAGCGATAGAGAAAAACTGTAATGCTCACACCTTCAGGGTGTTACACAGCTTCAGAGTTCTTAAATTTTAAGGCCACGGTGACATGTGGGCAGAATACAGTCATGGCCAGAAATACTGTGACTCCTGTATTTCTGTCAGGTAACACACCTCTCCTCCCAAAAAATTGTTGTAATCACAACTTCTTTGGTATTCTCATGTTTATTTCTTTTGTTTGTATTGGAATAACACAAAAAGCAGAAAAAAAGCCAAATCTGATCCACACAGAACTCCAAAAATGGACTGGACAGAATCAGTCACTCCCTGTAACCATCAGTGAGTTTCTTCCACCTCTTTACTGGAATCTTGGACCAGTCTTCTGTTGCCAGCTGCTCCATGTCTCTCAGGTTTGAAGGCTTCCTGCTCCCAGCTGCTGTTCTGACATCTCTCCACAGCTGCTTTATGGGGTTTAGATCTGGACTCACTGCTGGCCACTTCACAACTCTCCAGCTCATTGTCTGAAACCATTTCTGGTGCTTTCTGAAGTCTGCTTTGGGTCATTGTCCTGCTGTAAGACCCATGACCTCTGACAGAGACCCAACGTTCTGACACTGGGTCCCAGAATTCATTGGTAGTCTTCAGATGTCATAATGCCACACACACAGTCAAGACATCAGTGCCTGAAGCAGCAGAGCAACCCCAAAACATCAGTGAACCTCCACCGTGTTTGACTGTAGGGACGTGTTCTTTTCTTTGAAGGCCTCATTTCATTTTCTGAAAACAATAGAATGATGTGCTCGACCAAAAAGCTGTATTTTAGTCTCATCTGTTCACAGGACAGTCTCCCAGAAGTACTGTGGTTTCCTCAGGTAAGTTTTGGCTTCTTTATGGCTCTGTGTCAGCAGTGGGACCCCTGGGTCTCCTACCATAACATCCCTTGTCATTTACATGGCGACAGATAGTGTGAGCTGACACTGTTGCACCCTGTGCCTGCAGGTCAGCTTGAATTTGCTTGGAAGATGATCAAGGTTCTTTATCCACCATTCCAACAATCCTTCGTTGCAACCTGTCGTCTATTTTTCTCTTTCGTCCACGTCCAGGGAGATTAGCTCCAGCACCATGGGCTGTAAATGTCTTGACAATGTTGTTCACAGTGGAGCTTGGAGATGGACTTGGAGCCCTGAGACTGTCCAGGCTTTTCCACTATTGTGGATTTCATTACACATTAAAGGAGCATCACCTGCTTGAAATACAACTATATGTGGCTGGAATGTTCCAATTCTGGGAGACAGCCATCCAGGTGTACAGTCAGCTGGATGAACTGATTCGGTTTTTTGAAAATGTATATATTTTTGTATTTTGATAACCTAAACCAGGTATAATGTATCTACATCCTACACGTACACAGTGGCATGGACGAGTAATCATTTTGTTGTGTCTTGTTTTCAGATATGGCCAACAATTGAGGGCCTAAGTGGAAGGGATTTATTGTGTACTGTTGCACCAGCGTCGGGAAGAGAAAAGATTTCAGGAATACAGCGAATCAGACCTCTGGATCAGATATCAACTCTTCTCTGAGTCTGCATTTCTTTTTTTTTCTGTACATGACACTCAGTGATGAGTCACTGTCTTATCTTTGGACAGGCATGATCAGGTTTCTAAATCACTGAGATATTTAGTTGCTAATAATGTAGCCAGTAACAGGTGTATGTGTGGGTGCTCCCAACTTTATATCTTGTTTCACTTTTAAAATCTACATTTGTGGGACTTCCTTTAAAACAGCTGTGCATAACATCACATACACGTGACTGTTCAGAGCATTGTGAACTGAATTTTGAAATGATTTTGTCTCATGCATTTTTATACTTGTGAATACTATGTCCTGTACATATCTTGTTTTTTTTACCAACCTTTTTTAAACCTGTGATTTTTCTCGTAGGTCTGTCTTGTCTATTGATGCCATTTGTGTTTTGTTTGAAAGCTAAATGAAGTTGCAAGAAGTTCATCTTTATGTTTATGTTGTATAACTTCAACTTTGATTTTATTCTTGCCCTTCTGAGACTAGAATGTACAACTTTGGAAAAGACACTTTCTTTTGGATTCAGACCTGAATTTGAGATTTCTACCTGTGTGAGAGCAGCTACTATACAGACACAGCAGCAATTTGTAGTTTTACTCTTTCATTATAGTTTTTATTTTTAAGTCATCCACTCAAGCCCTATTTCATAACTGTGGTGCTAAAAACAAACTGTACTGTACAATATGGAAATGCTTCTTTATCATTTAAACATTAGTCACACTTTCCAGACATTCCGACATTATTTGGGAAAAGTAAAAAGTAGTGGCACCTGGAATGTGAAATCTTTTAGAGTCTTCCCTGATGATGTTATACTTTAAAGGTCCATTCAGAGAACACAGTTGTTTCCTTAAACAATTCACCACCAACATACCAGACATCCTTTTTGCACTTGTTTATATCAGGTCTGAGTCCTTCTAAAGACTCTAAAGGTAAATAAGTTGACAGTGACTGAATAAACCGATAGAAGCCCTGCTTGACTTTTGTTTTTACTTCTTTTCCTCACTAGATTTATCTATAATTGCCACCAGGTTCCAGGTTCATTCAAAAATCACTGAAATGTTTTCTTGATACCAAAAATGCTTTATTATAAATAACAATAAATAGCATCACAGACCATCAAATAAATAAATAAATGCAATAAATAGATATTAGATAAATAGATACATTCCTCCAAATGTTGAAATACATTCATGTAAAGAAGCCAATGTGGCCTCCACTGCTAACCTTAGCAATAGTTTGACGTTCAGCTCTCACTGAGCTGAGCCAGCTAGCTTATGCCTGTTGTGCCGCATACGCAGTGTAAAGTACTACTTGGTCAGTAGTTGTAAGTGATGGTAGTGGATGATCAGTAAGGCCAGTTTACTTGTAATAAAATAATGGAGTAGAGCTATTGTTGTACTGATTGGAATGATGGTGGTGATGTTGAGGGCGCAGGATGTTTACTTCCTGTGGTCTCCTGAGGAAATGTAGCCCATAGCTCGGTTGATAGTGATGGTTCGGACATAGAACCCTCTCAACATATTACACATGTCCTGTCTGTTTATGAAGCTTTCACTGCCCCACACCGGGACAGTGACCTCCTAAAAGACAACACAGAACCCATGAATGCACAGCAGTCACCTCCCAGTTTGACACTTTCAGAAACAGTTCCCTGTGTATAAACACTTAACATTTTTTTAAATATAAATGTTCCTTTTAAAGACTGAAAGATTGGGGGACAAAAACATGAGGAATAGAAAGATACCTCTGCAGAGTCGTCCTCTCCATTTGTCATCATGGCACAGTTCTGTATAAACCAGAGAAGATGTCGTCAGGCATCTTTGAGCTATTATTAGGAGATTGACTATTTCTGCCTTTAAATCTGTTTCCCCCTTCCACACATACACAATAAACACACCTTCCTCAGGCTCTGTATTATTCCCAGAGTTTGGTTCAGGGGTGGAACTTCTTCCTCAGGATTTCTGAGTGAGGACTTGATGTAGGATTGAATCACAGTATCGTAGTGGGCCAAGTCCTTCATGATGTTCCTCAGACACTCACTCTGCCAGGACAAATGAGATAAACTACTCATCATCTGTCTGCATGGATAAAACAAAAGTTTAAAATGTTCTGAATGGGTGGACAGTGTAAAATGTCAACAAAGGTAGAGCTTTATTTTTATTGTGTTCTGTTCTGGTCATTTTGTCCCAGATTCAATTTTCACTTTAGAATAAAAATTTTTCTAAACATTTTAAATAGTGGATTTCTAATTTACAGTTTTGTATAACACACAGTGTGAGGCAAATAAAACACAGTAGTAACAACAGCATACTGCACCTCATTGAAGGACGAGTTCCCTTGCACCAGGCAACCTTGGTTCTGTTGGGGATGGGGGGAGGATTTTAAACATGAGCTGTTTGTTGGGAGGTTTATTTTACTGGTAAAATGTAAAAATATGCACAACAGTTGTAATGTATTTATTATTTATATTTCATTAAACAAAAGGAGAGAAAATCCAATGTCGGTCTTAAATTGAATAATAATTGATCATTCATCATTTGTATCACTGATAAAGCAACAGATGTCACCTGACTCAAAGTGGGGGTGCAGGTCAGTAATGTCTGGGCTTTACTCTTCAGCACCACTTTATTGGATGTGATGCCAAAACACACCTTCTGGAATAGAAAATCAGGATATTCATTACTGATAAACTACAGACCTGCGTGAAACAGTAAAAGAAAGAAAGGGAGAAATTTGATTTGATTTATTCTTTCAAGCATGTAAAACAGTTGATATGACAACACACATAATTTTACACATAATCCAATATCAATTTGCTTATAATGGAGTAGGAAGAAGTCAGACTTATCCAGTCCTACCCCATGACATCATCTTACCATCATTGGTTAGCAAGCAGTAAATGATTCACTTCTACGCACACAAGTATTATACTAAAAAAGATTATAACAGTGTTAACATTTTTACATCACACAAGTAATATACTAAAGAATGGTTACAAAATGTACACCACACCCACAATATTCTATAGCATGAATTTTTAAATTTAACTGACCCCTTAAATTGTATCCCCCTTCCCTTTCATTAAATAGTTTTTGAATTCCACCAGGTAATAAATTGTTCCTGGCTTTATACATAAACACTGCAGTCTTATATCCCACTATATCCAAAAATTTTAACAATTTAGACTGTATGAAAGCTCCATTGGTGTGATCCCTGTACCCCATCTTATGCACAATTCTTATAGCTCTTTTTTGTAATATATACAATGGTTGAAGTGAGCTTCTGTATGTATTTCCCCAATTTTCAATTGAAGTTCATTGTCTAGTCTATGATTCCCAAATACCATAAATTTAGTTTTATCCAAATTCAGAGATAGTATATTACTATCACACCATTTCTTTATCTTCTCAAGTTCCTGTGAAACCTGTCCAGAGAGTTGCTGTAGGTTTTCACCCGATGCCCATATGGTAGTGTCATCAGCAAACAAAACCACTTTCACTAAATCAGAAACTTTGCATATATCATTAATGTATAGTATAAATAATGTAGGTCCTTCTAATCCATTTCAGAACCTCTGATCCCATATTTTTCTAACTTGTCCATTAATAATTCATGATTGATTGTGTCAAATGCTTTTTTTAGGTCAATAAATATTCCCATCGTATATTTCCTATGAAATACAGTATTACAACATGAACACGCCACAGCGAAATACAGCCTATACTTACGGAGCTGTTGAGAAGATCTGTGAAATTTAGCAGGAGGCTCCTGAAGAGCAAAGAGCACTGTTCGCACTTCTCTGTGCTCAGATCGGGCACCGGGACTCCCGTGGACGCGCGCCACCCCAGGGTCAGGAGAAGCAGCAGCAGCGCACAGCTGGCGGAGTCTGCACGGTAGAGAATAATAAACATCAAAACATGCACCTTATGAGTCGAACCAAGCCTTCAGGTTGCATGACAAAACACAACAAAGCCCCTTGGAAAATGCAATACAGTATTCCAGCCTGTGTCGAGGGCGCGGTGCCTTACGTAAATCAGAATTCGCCATCTTTCTGATTAGATAGAGATCTTTGGTCGAGCTGGTAAATCAGCAGTAATGTGTTGCTGCCTCCCTAATCTGATAGTCTTATAGGCCCATGTAATTTCGAGGGATTCCCCCCCCCCCCTACAGGAGCAACAGCAATATGAAAAGTAACACGTCACGCGTAATTTCCGTGTTGAGCTTCCAATACACTTAGCTGAACAAATAAGGGAAAGTTGGGATGTTTCATTTGATAGATAGATAGATAGATAGATAGATAGATAGATAGATAGATAGATACAGTAAATACACTCAGTGTGCCTAAAGTGTTTGTTGGGCAACTACGGTTTTGCGTATAATTTGAAGTTAGTAAACAGGTGCGTATAGCCAGTATAACTCCAAATGCAAGCATACTATGTCCTGAAATTGTCTTTTTGCATTCGCCCACTAGGCCGCAATATAGCACCTGCAAAATGCCACACATAAAATCAATAGGCCCTACACGTTAAAACAACAAATAACAACAAAAGAAAAGAAAAGAAAAGAAAAATCAGAGAAGCAGATTCACCGCCAGCAGATCGAGCGATTCATTCTTGGTAGATAAACCCGCATCACTGTGCTGCCATGGAGCCTTTGCTGTGCAGCAGTCTGTGCTTGTTGTCACCGCTATGTGGGGAGTTAATGATGGCAGACCCACTTAGACAAGTCTTTACTACTTTGACTAATAGGGAGAATTAATGGTAAATTAATCAGGACGGTGGTGTAACGGCAAATTAAAGGGCAGGTAAATCCAGGCTCATGTGCATCACTGGGACCAGCCACTGGCATATATGTGGGGCCCTTACTCGGTTGTGGTATGGCATTGGCACGATGATGGCTATTTGAAGCAACACGTTTCAGCGATGCAGCCGGACATTGCCTGGCTCAGCTTCTGTCTCATCTGTGTGGGCCAAGGATGTAGGTCCAGTCAGTGCTTGACTAATGTTTCTGTAGAGAAGGTTTCGCGTGTTGTCCCTCTGCCCGTGGGCGGCGGGTTGGTGACTCTGTTCTCACGCAAGAACCAAGATCACGCAAGGAGGACAACGTGGAATCCCAAAATTTCCAAACGAAAAGTATGACAAAAGATTTATCAGAGGTGGAAAGCAGTGCTAGGCTTTTTGCTTTCCTTGAGTAGGCAATTTTCATTTTCTGCTACTTTATTTTTTACTGCACCAGTGGGAAACGTTAAGCTTTTTAAAAGATTTCGATGCAAAATATATTATCAACTATGTAAAGTACTGAAAACCAGCTCCATCCACCATAACGAAATACTGTTTAATTAATCATATCTATCTATCTATCTATCTATCTACATACCTAGACTGTCAGTTTGCAGGTTATAATAATAAAAGAAAGTCAATAAATAATAAGAGAATAAACTTACAGTTTCAAATTTTAAGACCACATGGAGGAAAAGTCCTTAATATGCTTAGAAACATATTCATTTTTCTCATTCAACTCGGTGGGAAAGTTTGTCCAACACTTTGACTGTTCGTGTGTGCATTTCCAGGGTCAAGAATGAAATTTCAGTTGGAAGTTTATTTATTTATTTATTTATTTGTGTGGATGGTAGAATATGCCCAAATGAGTGTCTGAGAAATTCACAAGGCTCAAAATGAGAATAATGTGGAACCGCTATTGATGCACCGAGCTAAATGTCATCATCTCCTTGCATCCCTCCAGGTTTGTTGTGTTTAAACGGCTTTGTGCACTCTGTGAAACTGCCGTGGTCAGTGACTGGTTAACAGGAGTTTCCTGGCCTTTCTTCTACTTCACCACAGCACTGTCAAAAACTGAAACTTAATCAGTACAGTATACCTTGTGTTCATCGGGTTGACCCACAGAGAGAGAGAGAGGGGGGAACTTCATTAGAAAACTGTCATTATATTACATGAATACTAGCAGCACATTCATTACTAAACCGACCATTCATACAAAATTATGTTTCTGCATTTATATCTTGAACTACAATGGACCCTTCCTCGCATGTTTCACAGGTCCAAAGGCCATAATTTTTCACATGAAAGAAAAATTCCTGACTGTGACTTTAAGGGGGCTGTCCAAATGAGCACGGAGTCCCTTTAAGAGCAGTATGCCAGCCCCAGTTGAACGAAAGACAAACAGTGTCCTGATGAGGCAAGATCGAAACAGAGGGTGTTGAGTCATACTATGTGTAATGAGGCTTATATTTTCACTGCAGAAAGAAGAAGCCGATCTGAAAGGGCAAATTCACACGCACAGCAACACACAACTGTACAACAAACTGCAGCGCAAACCAACGTTTATGAAACAAAGTTGATTCTTTATTTTACATTATCTGTACATAAACATTTCTTCCCTCAAATAAAAGTTTCTGAATACAATAGGATGAAAACAATATTAACACACTTATTCGTTTAAAATGATGTGTCAGAAAATCAACATTCACAAAATGTTGAAGAGCAATTAGAGTGAACATTTTACCAAAAGCTACGACTCAACTACAAGGCAGGCATGTTTCCTTTACACTCTTTTAGCACCTTCAAATAAACTTTTCTCAGTTGAAAACTACCATTTGTGCAGAATAAAAACTTTGAAATACTTTAAAATTACTGTCCAACTTAAAATGGGCTGAAGAAGTTAGTTTTCCATCATTTTTATACAGTGTTTTGTTCTCATGACTGACTTTCTACTAAATTTTTCACTATTATTTTATTTTTTTCCCACAATTTTTGCATTTGAACAATTATAATTTAGTGGTGAATGTAGAAAGTTAAAAAGAAATCATAGCAAAGCGAGGCCGATCACTGCACAGGAAGCTGGGGACAGACAGTCGGTTTCCTCTTCTCCCAGGAAGTGCTCCTCTGTCCGTCGTAAGCACTGGGAGAAAACCACAGAAGCAAATGAAAGAAGGGGGGCTTTCTTCTATGCTGCTGCTGCTGCCACTGGGGTCAGTGGGTTTGGACAAGAAGGTAGACAGGGGTGCAGACAGGGAAGCAGCAAGGAGCAAAAATACTTGGGACAAGTGGGGGGATTTGGATGGAAGAGGTGGAATGGTTGGAGGGGAAAAGTCTGGTTTGGAGCAGGGGCTAAGCTTGGCAGAGGGGAACAGGGTGGAGCACGGGCGGGCATCTTATTTGGACAGGGTCCTCTCAGCCAAGTGTTTCTGCTGGCTCTCAGCATGCCTGGAACAGAGAAAGAGAGCATATGGTTACTTGAAGAATAAGCCTGGTGATATCTAGATTTGTATTATTGTCAACAAATCCTAAGAAAAGACCAGAATCAGCATTGTATTAATCCCACTAACAAGTACTGTCTGTGTAGCTAAAGCCTACTGTAGCTTATTCCTTTGTTGCCCACAAACTATTAAAAAGACATGAGTGAGCTACACCGTTGTACTGGATGATTAAGTCATTCCTTCCCACTCAGACCTTCCCACTCTATGTGGGAAACAATTCCACTACAGCAGATGTCTATCTGGCAATGCTGTTACCAAGTTTAAGGAAATAATTCCATCTTTATCTACTTCAGTGCCGTTTGCCAACACAGTGGAAGGAGGCCACCTTAACTTTACTCCCACACAAGTCGATAATCTTGTTAGTACTACAGCCTTCCCGCATAATACACTTGATACCATTGCCCCTCTGAAAAAGAAGGTAGTGAAACAGAGGAGGCTAGCCCCGTGGTACAGCTCGCAGCTCCGCTCCCTAAAGCAGGCATCACGAAAAATGGAAAGGAGGTGGCGCTCCACTAAGTCAGAAGAGTTTTTCATAGCCTGGAAAGATAGTTTAATAACATATAAGAAAGCCCTTCATAGTGCCAGAACCGCATTTTATTCATCACTGATTGAGGAAAATAAGAACAACCCCAGGTTTCTTTTCAGCACTGTAGCCAGGCTGACAAAGAGCCACAGTGCTGTTGAGCTTAACATTCCCTTAGATCTCAGCAGCAATGACTTCATGAGCTTCTTTACAAATAAAATCACAACTATTAGAGAAAAAATTGGTCGGACCACTCCCACAGCTCTCGCAGATGTGCCATCTACTACAATGGCTTTAGAAACATCTGTAAGACCTCATTTATACTTGGACTACTTCTCCCCTATAGATCTCTCTGAGTTGACCTCAACAATTGCTTCATCTAAATCATCAACATGTCTCCTGGACCCCATCCCGACCAGGCTGCTCAAAGACGTCTTTCCCCTAATCAACACATCCATACTAGATCTGATTAACCTCTCTCTATTAACAGGTTATGTTCCACAGGGTTTTGAACTTGCAGTAATTAAACCTCTACTCAAAAAGCCTACTCTTGACCCAGGTGTCCTAGCTAATTAAAGACCAATATCCAATCTCCTGTTTATTTCTAAAATCCTTGAAAAAGCTGTTGCAAAGCAGTTATGTGACCACTTGCACAAGAATGATTTGTTTGAGGATTTTCAGTCAGGATTTAGAGTCCATCATAGTACAGAAACCGCATTGGTGAAAGTCACCAATGATCTTCTGCTAGCCTCGGACAAAGGACTTGTCTCCATACTTGTCCTCTTAGATCTCAGTGCTGCTTTTGACACCATTGATCACAGCATCTTACTGCAGAGACTTGAACATGTTATTGGGATTAAAGGAACTGCGCTAAGTTGGTTCAAATCTTATTTATCAGAAAGATTTCAGTTTGTTCATGTTAATGACGAATGTTCCACACAAACTGAAGTTAGTCACGGCGTTCCACAGGGCTCTGTGTTAGGTCCAATTTTCTTCACTTTATACATGCTCCCTTTAGGCAATATTATCAGGAAGCACAACATAAATTTCCATTGCTATGCAGATGATACTCAGTTATATTTATCTATGAAGCCAAATGAATCAGGTCAGCTGGTCAAACTTCAAGCATGTTTTAAAGACATAAAGGCCTGGATGACCTGCACCTTCTTACTTCTAAACTCTGACAAAAGTGAAGTTATTGTGCTTGGGCCTGAACACCTTAGAAATCTGCTGTCTAATCATATAGTTACTTTAGATGACATAGCTCTTGCCTCCAGTACTACTGTGAGGAACCTTGGAGTCATCTTTGATCAGAATATGTCCTTTAAATCACACATAAACCAAGTCTCTAGATCTGCCTTCTTTCACCTGTGCAATATTGCAAAAATCAGGAGCATCCTGTCTCAAAGTGATGCTGAAAAACTGGTCCATGCATTTGTTACTTCCAGGCTGGACTACTGTAACTCTTTACTATCAGGATGTCCCAATAATTCCCTAAAAAGCCTCCAGTTAATCCAAAATGCTGCAGTCAGAGTACTGACAGGAACTAGTAAGAGAGATCATATCTCTCCCATGTTAGCTTCTCTCCACTGGCTCCCTGTAAAATTCAGAATAGAATTTAAAATCCTTCTCCTAACATACAAAGCCCTTAATGACAAGGCTCCATCGTATCTTAAAGACCTCGTAGAGCCTTATCATCCTAACAGAGCACTTCACTCTCAGAGTGCAGGTTTACTTGTGGTTCCTAGAGTCCACAGAAGCAGAATGGGAGGCAGAGCCTTTAGCTATCAAGCTCCTCTCCTATGAAACCAACTCCCAGTCTCAGTTCGGGAGGCGGACACCCTCTCTACCTTAAGACTTTCCCTTTTGATAAAGCTTATAGTTAGGGTGGATCAGGTGACCCTGAGCCTTCCCTTAGTTATGCTGCTACAGGCCTAGGCTGCTGGGGGGCCCCATGATGCTCTGAGTTTCTCTCCCCTCCCCTCCCCTCTCCTCCCCTCTCCCCTCCTCTCCTCTAATCTAGACCTTACTTTGTAAAGTGTCCTGAGATTACTTTTGTTGTGATTTGGCGCTATACAAATAAAATTTGATTTGATTTGATTTGATGAATATAAAAAATTAAAATCCTTGTTCAGTGTCTTATCACCTGGTGAGGTCCTCGATGTCAACCAGCATGGCATCCTGCTCCATGTGTAGCTCGTCTCGGATCAGCAGCAACTGTACAAGCTCTTCGTTCAGACCTGCAGATAATATGAGGATTCTTATGAGAACGATCACTACTATCAAGCAGGAATATGCCCACTTTTACACAGCACAATGACCACAGTTGATCAATACACTTATTTTGTTACTATGGAAGATGAATCAACATGAAATTCTGGATGTGAAGGGCAAAAATCTCCCTCATGAATTCATAAAATGACCTCACAAAGCCAATAGCATTACGAGTATTGACAGTCACACCGCATCTCAGTGGCTGTGATTGTTTTCATCACATGCTTCAGCTATTGTTCCTTCAGCTCAGCCAGAAAGTCTAAAGCACTGACAAATGAGATCTGAAGGGAAAGTCTGTTTTGTAAGTAAAAAACTTGCTGATCAGTCTGGACTCATGGGGATTTTTGGAGCTGCTTTATGTAAGATGAGAGATTATTCATCACTGAGTACCAGGATCAATGATCTGTACAGTGCACTAACAGTAAATGCTCAGGGGAAGCTGTCAACTGTGCAGTTCTTTGAACTGACTAACATATATAAAGGTACTTTCACATCCACTGAAAATAGTAGGGGTCAGTATGCATGGACATGTTTTTCCCCATTTGCTTTCTTGCTCATAACTGCTACTGAGAGCAGAGGTCAGAGGCTGTGTATGTGCCACACTGTATGTGTTAATGTGTGGTCAACTCACTCTCGATCTGTGAGTGCAGGTCATTGACTATAACCTGGAGCTGTCCCAGTGTCATGTCTCTCAAGTCAGTGGGTTTCAGGCTTCTTTTCATTAGACACTCGTTGATGTGAGGCATGTGCGGAAGCTGCGGAAAAACACACACAGAGACCGTAAGACACAGAGACATGGCGCTTAGCCTGTAGGCAGGCTGAGACCTCATAATATGATTTAAAACAAGATTCTGCTAGAAAATAAACCAAATTTTTTCAGAAGTTCCTTTCTAGTTTTTCAGACATTTGTGCAAGAGGGACAGCTCAGGTCGGCTGTTTTGGGGACAAGGTCAGATTGAGATGGTTTGAACATGTGCAGAGGAGGGATAGTGGTAATATTGGTAGAAGGATGTTGGAGATGGAGCTGCCAGGCAAGAGGTCAAGAGGAAGGCCAAAGAGGAGATATATGGATGTGCTAAAAGAGGACATGAAGTTAATTGGTGTGAGAGTAGAGGATGCCGAGGATAGAGTTCGCTGTGACGAGCCCTAACGGGAACAGCCGAAAGAAGAAGAATAAGAATAAGTGCAATTCAATTAAAGACATTTGTCTCAAACTATTTAACACCACTACTACAACAAATAGATGCCGTCTACTAGTCTTAACTCATGAAACTATTATCATCTAAAATCCATGGACATCATTTCACTGCTTTATGTAGTGGGAGTGGTGGCGTTCAGAATAAAATAGATTGTATGGTCTAAACAGTCAATGGAGGAATTTAACCAGTATGATGATCAGTTTTATTTATTTATTTATATTCTGTTTTTAATGTTTAATGTAATTTTATTTGACCTTTATTTTACCAGGAAGTCCCATTGAGATCAAGATCTCTTTTTCAAAGGAAGTCTGGCCAAGGCCAATTTTACAACATATTAAAACTCAACACACAACACAATTTACAAAATAAAAAAAAACTCCATTCATAAGATAGAAACAATGGGCTCTACACTAAACAGCTAACCTACTGACTGAACAGAATAGTCAGCAGGTTATCTGGTAATAAATACAATTTCTAGTTGTCATCCTATTTTTGCTAGAACACAGCCACAGTGGCACGAGTTACCAGCAGTAACAAAAAAGCCAGCTGTTTTGTTTGACGGCTGCCTGAGTTTATATGATGAGTTGCTTTTTCACTGGCAGCTTTATTCTGTGATAAACAACTGCTTATCTTTGCCTTCTGTGGATAATGACCCTGATGAAACAAAAGGGAATATCAATTTTCCTTTGAGGAGAGTGTAAAGTTGGGGGATTTCAAGTAGGTTGACAGTGTTTTATTTAGATAAACAGCAGATGCACTCGGTGACTGTGTGACAGTCCAGCAGTGGCGCTGCTTCTTCTGAGAGCTGAGCGCTGTCCCCACCCCCCACGCTGCAGAACAGAACAAATCTGTTCATTCCACTTCATGTCTCATCTTACATCTGCAATATTAAAGCAGTTTTACAGAAATGTTTTATATTTATTTGCATTTTGCCATTTAGCACAACGCCCCACTAGTTAAAAACACCTGTTATGTAATCACACACAAGGGTGGAGTCACAAAAAAGGGTGAGCATTGCACATTATGTAAACACAGTAACGCAGCCTCTGTATAATAAGTGTGTGGGACGTTTTTAGAGTGTGTTTGTGCCAGTTATTTTATTAACCAGTACCTGAGCACACACACAGTATGGCTCCAAACAGTGCCTTCTATTTCCCAGTATTATCTTTAATATCCCTTCTGTAGTGGTTTCATTTTGCTTTGCATGTCTGTTGTTTTTAAAAATGAGCGGCACTTTCTCCAGTGTGGCTTTCTATGTCTTAGTGAGTACGTGTCCCACTGCCACCAGCAGCTGCTGCATGTTGTCAGGTGTGTGCTTTGTCAGACGTACATGGCCTGCATCTGCATTTTGTTTACCAGACACTCC